AATGTTTTAGATTTTCCTTTCGAAACTGCATATTTATTTTCTGTGCCAACGGGACGACTCCCATTTTTTAAATCCAAATATATTAATATCCTAGATCTGAAGGTTCATATCCTCAGCTTTGCCCTTCCTTATATCAGTCTTTGACAATTCAAGTTTTCCCGCACTTTTGAAGGCAGAATCATATAAATTTCAACCTGCAACTGAAAATGCTGTTTAGCTTTTAGTTTGGATTTACAAAACATGTCATGCTGAAAAATATAATCTGTTATTGGAGTGTATTCAGTTATATTTGACTGAAATGGATTAGTTGCTGACTATTTTATTTACATACATCAAGTTTAAAACTATTGAAATGATGCAACTTATGTAGAGGCAAGCAGATGAGGTCAGCAACTAATACCTTCTGTTCCTCTAAAGAGGAGTTCACAACACTCAGCTCTAGCTGATTTAGTTTTGTCTCAGTTTTTGCTGACAGGACAAAACACAAGTTATAAAGAAGATTTCAGCATAACACAATCCAGTCAATGCATGTTCCACTACATATGTACACTATATTGCCAAAAGTATTTGCTCACCCATCCAAATTATTGGAATCAGGTGTTCCAATCACTTCCATGGCCACAGGTGTATAAATTCAAGCACCTAGGCATGCAGACTGTTTTTACAAACATTTGTGAAAGAATGGGTCGCTCTCAGGAGCTCAGTGAATTCCAGCGTGGAACTGTGATAGGATGCCACCTGTGCAACAAATCCAGTCGTGAAATTTCCTCGCTCCTAAATATTCCACAGTCAACTGTCAGCTGTATTATAAGAAAATGGAAGTGTTTGGGAACGACAGCAACTCAGCCACGAAGTGGTAGGCCACGTAAACTGACGGAGCGGGGTCAGCGGATGCTGACGCGCATAGTGCGAAGAGGTCGCCAACTTTCTGCAGAGTCAATCACTACAGACCTCCAAACTTCATGTGGCCTTCAGATTAGCTCAAGAACAGTGCGCAGAGAGCTTCATGGAATGGGTTTCCATGGTCGAGCAGCTGCATCCAAGCCATACATCACCAAGTGCAATGCAAAGCGTCGGATGCGGTGGTGTAAAGCACGCCGCCACTGGACTCTAGAGCAGTGGAGACGCGTTCTCTGGAGTGACGAATCGCGCTTCTCCATCTGGCAATCTGATGGACGGGTCTGGGTTTGGCGGTTGCCAGGAGAACGGTACTTGTCTGACTGCATTGTGCCAAGTGTAAAGTTTGTTGGAGGGGGGATTATGGTGTGGGGTTGTTTTTCAGGAGCTGGGCTTGGCCCCTTAGTTCCAGTGAAAGGAACTCTGAATGCTTCAGCATACCAAGACATTTTGGACAATTCCATGCTCCCAACTTTGTGGGAACAGTTTGGAGCTGGCCCCTTCCTCTTCCAACATGACTGTGCACCAGTGCACAAAGCAAGGTCCATAAAGACATGGATGACAGAGTCTGGTGTGGATGAACTTGACTGGCCTGCACAGAGTCCTGACCTCAACCCGATAGAACACCTTTGGGATGAATTAGAGCGGAGACTGAGAGCCAGGCCTTCTCGTCCAACATCAGTGTGCGACCTCACAAATGCGCTTCTGGAAGAATGGTCAAAAATTCCCATAAACACACTCCTAAACCTTGTGGACAGCCTTCCCAGAAGAGTTGAAGCTGTTCTAGCTGCAAAGGGTGGACCGACGTCATATTGAACCCTATGGATTAGGAACGGGATGTCACTTAAGCTCATATGTGAGTCAAGGCAGGTGAGCAAATACTTTTGGCAATATAGTGTATATGTTAATATACATTGTAAATACCTATTTGCAGAAGATTCATATGTTGGTCTGTAAACAGATTCCTTACTGACTGTGTGTTAGGACAACAAATAAAAGTATGTTTTAAGCTCAATTTGTGGTTGAACAGTTCACTCTGTAGAGATATGGGAAAAAAACCAGAGCAAATTCCATTTAAATTATGAGGATTTATTGGCAAAACCTTTTTTAAACAAAACAGTCATTCAGCAAGATTATTTTAATGCTTCTATTCTCCCACAGTACTTGGCGAGAACAGGAGTCCATACTCAATTAATTTCAATCCAAAAATGCTTTATTAATTCCAAAATGAAATGATATGTTGCAGTAACTCAGCCATTATTTATTCAAACAGCTGTTTTAGGTGTTGATAGCTTTAGGCAGGAGGAATCTTCTGTAGTGGTCTTTCTTGCACCGGACCTGGAGAACCCTCTTAATAGAGACACTCTGTTGTTGTTTAGAAATCTCTCCATAATGACATTCACTTTATAAAAGAATTCTTCTTCCACTGCTCCCAAAGGGGATGGGATAAATTCAGAGAGGTCATTTTGTCGCTATGTACTTGTGACAGTGTAATGACAATTAAAAAAAAAACACTGAAGATAATGGAAATAGTACCTAGCAAACAAAGGAATCCATTAAAAAAAGGCAGTGATGTTTTACAGGTCAAATGTTATAAGCATGTCAGGAAAAACATATAACCTTTAACATCATACTAGTGTTTAAACCTTTAATAAGGAAATAAAGTTTGTTTTAGCTTTATGAACATCTCCAAACATGCCAGCATTAGGTACAATGTGGTTGCTATTTGCCTTTTGTCTCTTTTTTGCTTGCTTTACAGAACAGTAAACACATTAAATAATCAGAAATGATCAAAACCTACATTGTTTGGCTGGAAACTCTTTCCCTGACTTTGCCAGATCTGCAGACTGCTAATCTCCTTCTGGGAAAGGTGGGTATCTCTAGAGTTCATGACGGCTTATGCCAGGCTGTGTTGGATGGATCTATGTCTAGATTGCCTAGCCAGGAGGACTTTTCACTTTTTGAACACTCTATGATTCAGTCTCTGCTACCTCTAACACCTTTGTGTGAACTTGAAAAAAAATGTATCAGAAAGTCTATTCAGCAAAATCTAGCTATGAGATAAGCAGATCCCCTTGTCCCCATGGGCTGCAATCAGGATATATCCCCAGTGTGGTGCTCCTGCAGAGAGCTACCAACTCAAATACCCCTCTGACCAAAAAAAAGCTGTCAATCATCTTTTAGTGCCAGCTGGAATGGCTCATTCGTTCTATCTGCTTCAAATGACTCGACAAGCAACCCAGGTTAAAAGGGCATTCAAACGGCTAACAATCGGAATTGGCGCCCTTCCCATTGGCAAAGAAAGCTGTCGAACCCCCACTGTCAGGCTGCTTGGCTGCTGCTTCGTGTCTGATGATACCATCATGCTGGGTTTGGCGTTGATGATGTCACCAGTGCAACAGAAATCAGGAAAGTAAACAATGGAGAGCAACATTTGAGGAAGCCAGGGTGTAGTAATCGTACTTTATTGTTATACTCTTTTATCTTTCCGAATCCTTCTTGCCAGTGCTGGGCCATGTTTATCGAATATGAACAGAGTTATTTTGGCTTTTTAGATCAGACGCGACTGACGTAGTGTGTTGATGTCTATATGGCATCACGTAAATGAGCGGGATAATCGGGTACCGATCGGAGCCAAGTTTTTTGAAGGCGATTTTAACCCGAGTTGCTTGCCGAGTCATTTGATATAGGTCTACAGGTGTCTGTGATCTGCTCCCACTCCCACTAAAGCTAATACCTAGAAACAGCCCACGGGTCTCATTGATATAACCTGCATACACTTAAAACAGGGCCTCAAACTTGCCGTGCTCCATACAAAAATTAATAAAAACAAAATTGCATTGAAAAGTTGTTGTCTCACATACCAATTCTGACCCATCTTTGTACAGTTGTGCAAGTTTACCAGAAGATTATGAACATATTAAATAACTCGAACTGTTATAGTTGATTGAAAGGTCATTAAAATCAAGGGTAAAACTGATTAATTATTAGGAGTTGAATAATTATAACTGTGATTTGCTTACTAACCAGGGCTCTTAATCTCTTACATTAAAGTTTGGACTCCTGAATCTGGCTGTTTTAATCCACTTGTCTTTCATCAGTTTAGTAATTTTGACTATGGTTATCAGCAGAGTTATTAATCACCAACCAAATAAATTTGTCTCTGTTCAGCTACTGAAAGAAGAGTGAATCCAGCCTGAGTATTAAAATCGTTCACTGTGTGCAATAAACACAAAAGACCACAGGTTAAAATACAATGGTACTTTCACAACAGTAAGGAACAGCATGATAAAGGTGATCAAGCAACTAATTCCAATGTATTGTTTGTATATGATTTTCTAACACTGAAGGAGGAGCAGGAAACATCAAAACAAGAAATCTGCTGAATAGTAATTTTTTTATTGGTACCTTTAAGGACCCAATTTCTTCATTCAAGCTTAGAATGTTTTAAACTAAATCAGTCATTACCTTTTCTCCAGATACACTGCCTTGCTTCTTTATAAAGTACATTATGCACCAAAGAGCTTCACCAAACGGACACAACCCTCAAGCCTTGAGTGAAATACAAAACACATAAAACTGAGATAATTCTTTTATATTAGGATGGACTTTTGACCTTTTTCTCTCAGAGTATTGTCAAAATTAATGTAATGATTTTTTATGAGATAATCTTAATTGCTCTTTGCACCCAATATAGATATATATATATATATTTCTCTTTAAAAAGAAAAATAAGTGAGGCTGGATAAAGAAAATATTAAAAGATGTGTTATTTCTTGTAATTAAAGCGTGCAAGCATCTTTCGTCATTCCTGGCAGGGGCGGATGATGATGCTGCTATACAGCAAAGCTGCCCAATAAAGTTTGACTTGCCCTACGGCAATAAAAAGTTGCAGCCAATGCAATCACATTCCATGATTCAGTGGATTCCCTTTTTATATGCCCCATCCTCTGAACACTAACCCCATAAAAACATTAAGTATCAGTTAATTTTTTATCTTTTCTTACTTGATCAACCCTCCCAACTTTGTTTCACCGCAGTGGTGTGGGCATAAAGAGAGGAGATTGAGCAACTTGCCCCCACTGGCATCATCATTACCTGGACTAGGACGGAGGGACATCCTGGAATCCTCTTGTGGAATCTAAGAATTCAATCTTCTCCTTCCATCCAGTTTTCATAATGACACTAAAAGCTGTACCTATGGAAGCCTGTCATTCCTCCGCCACAGTCTGCTCAGGTGCAGACTGCCTGGCTTCTGCCAGTAATTATAATGCAACCCTCAGCTCTGTGTTAAGCGTTGTTCTAACAGTGATGCTGGCCTTTGTCATGTTTGCCATGGGCTGCACCGTCGATGCCAAAAAGCTCTTAGGCCACGTTAAGAAACCCTGGGGCATCGTCATCGGCTTCCTCTGCCAGTTCGGCATCATGCCCTTCACTGCCTTTGCGCTTTCTCTTGCTTTTGGGGTGCTCCCGGTGCAGGCCGTCGTAATCATCATCATGGGCTGCTGTCCTGGAGGAACCAGCTCAAACATTGTCTGCTACTGGCTGGATGGAGACATGGATCTGAGGTAAGATGGTTAGGCTGGTTTGAAGGTTCATTAGTTGTCTTGGTTACTTGTATAAACCAGTTTACTGAAATTCAATTCCATTTCTAGCAAAGTATAATAGGTGAGGGAGGTTAAGGATTATGATTTCTTTTACATTAGAATCTTCAATTACCACAAGTAGAAACCCCTGATCAAACCCTTGAATCTGGTTATTGTTATGGACTCAGATCTGTAGCTTCAAAAAGAACAAAAAAAATACATTGATAAATTGTTATTACCAAAATCAATCTCCCTAACTAAAGACCAATGTCTCAGCAGGCTCTCTAAAAATAAACCGTAGATTTGTCTTTAGCAGAACTGATTACTGCAGGTCTGCCTAAAAAGTGGATCAGACGGCTGCTGTTGATCCAGTGTCCTCACTAAAACCAAGGAAACGAAGCACAACAATAAAGTTCTAAAATAATTACACTGGCTTTTTGTATATCAAGGAATATACGTTAATATACTAATTTTAGTCTGTCAAACACTGAATTGCTTACCACTAAAATACATTAAACTTGTTGTCAATGTATCAACCTTCGGGATATCTTAGTTTCTCTGGCCTAAGTCCAGTCTGCAAACCCAGAACAAGAATCAAACATAGAGACGTTTGTATCCTGAATTAATTTAAATCAAAATTATAAACTTCCTTTAGAGTTACTTTTGCCTCTGCTTTTTAAGCTGTTAACTAAAACATAAGCAGTTTAAGTTCGTTATCCAACTTTTTATCACCTGCCATAATTATGCTTCCTCTGCATTATTTTCTTTCAGACTTTCTTTTCTTTTGATTTGATACAGCAGTGAATTTTCTGGTCACTGAAAGGTACTTCACAAATAAACTTGCCTTGCCTAAAGAGCGGCAGCGACACATTTTGGTTGCCGATGTGTGAATATAATCTGGCATAAGCCACAGTTCTGTGTGCTGATTGGGTAAATCCCAAAGTGATAACTGCCCGCCATGTCCAACTTTTAGCCAATCACAGCAGCAGAAGTAAATCACATTCTTTATTTGTTTCACAACTAGCAGAATTATCAGATATATCAAACTCTTGCCAAATCCAGTCGGGAGGAAATCGCGAACTTTTCCATCCAAAAAGACAAAAATCACATTATTGTTTTTCAAAAAGAAAAAAGGATATTCAAGCTAAAACTGGCACGGAATTTTTTTTTTCCCTTCAGCCTTATACCTTATACCTTAACTTAATACACGTCACTGCATTTCATTCAACCTTTCTGCATTGAGGCTAATGCAACTATTGGCCTCTGGGAAGATGTATTTTTAGGAGTTTGTGAATTCTCAGATTTAGAGACAATTCATCTTAGGCTATGTGGATATATGGGCACATTATATTTTGAGGGATGTTTAATTAATTGTCTCTTCAATTGATTTAATTTTTAAAAAAACATACTATTCCTTAATATTCTCATTGGGTCAGGTTATATAAATCGATCTGTGATATTTGGTTTATTTCCTGCAGCATTACTATGACCGCCTGCTCCTCCATCTTGGCCTTGGGCATGATGCCACTCTGCTTGTTCATCTACACTAGCGTCTGGACTGCCAGTGGCACTATAAAGGTTCCTTTTGACAGTATTGGTGAGCAAACAGATCTACTTTCTTTATATTTTCTATAATTATCGCTAATAAATCTGAAACCTTAAGGCCTCCTGCCATGCATTTTTCATTTGGAAGAGTAGCACCTGCTCGTTGACTGGCCTTTTATCTTTGCTTGCTCAGGAATCACTCTTGCAGCACTTCTGATACCCATTGCAGCAGGGATTTTTGTAAAAACCAAGTGGCCTCATATTGCAAACAAGATCCTCAAGGTAATAATGCTTTAGATTTAGTTGTGCAAGCTGTTGACCAATAAGAAGCCATAGACAGAGAGTAAGTGAAGTATTTTTGTGACCATTTTCACAGGTTGGTTCTATTGCCGGGTTTGCTCTCATTATCGTCATAGCGGTGGTGGGAGGCGTCCTCTACCAATCCTCCTGGGTCATTTCTTCTTCCTTATGGATAATTGGAACCATCTATCCCTTCATTGCCTTCAGTATGGGTTTCTTAATGGCCCGGTTTGTGGGTCAGCCCTGGCACAGGTGAGCAAGAAAAGAAACACTTTAGAAGTCATTATTTCTTTATACTTAAAGTTTGCCCCCATCAAGGTATACAATAAGGGAAGAAGAAAACCACCATAATTACAGATTAGATTTTTTTTATGAGGTTCATCATTATTACTTCTTTTGTTCAGATGTCGAACGATTGCACTGGAAACTGGTTTCCAGAACTCCCAGCTATGCACCACCATTGTCACACTGTCCTTCTCCGCTGAGGAGCTGGAGGTCATGTTCGCATTTCCTCTGATCTATAGCATCTTCCAGCTCGGCATGGCTCTCATTGCTGTGATTGGTAAGTTTCACAGGGAAATAACTTATTGTATGTATTTTTTCCAGGATATCAATGTTCTATTAACCAGTAATGTTTCTTACTGTCATGCTTTCTTTGACAGCCTTCCAAGTATATAAAAGGAAATGTGGAAAAGGTTCTGTCAAGGAGGACAGAGCAGCAGATAATGAAGAAACAAAGCAAACAGATTTCTCTCTGGATAACAAAGCTTTTGACTCTGACGAGCTGAACGGCACCTTTGCACACATAAAGGAATGAGATTCCAAATGGCTGCCAATGATTGACTCTAGACCTGATTAAAGCAGCACTATTGAACTGTGATCAGACACTGCTCTCTACAGGCTGAAATATAAATCACACAACAACTGGACAAAGTTTGGAAAGATTTCTGTCTGATTAGCAAGAGGTCACATGAAGGGGGGGGGGCCTGATTGACCCAATATGGAGTTTATTTTTGAATGTGGTTAGGCATTGAGTCCTGCTGTCTTTTAATGTATTAATGTAAATAGTTTTTAAAAGAATCAAGTATCCTTGTCTTTAATGGTACAGTGACTAAATGTCAGAACTGTTTAAGAAGTTTTAGTTTGATATTTTAGAGGCTTGATTTCAGCTATGTCTCAATTAAAATCTTACAATTTTGGTCACATCTTATTTTTTTAAGAAGTTTTTTCTTTTTTCTGCACATTAATAAAATTGGGTGAACGTTCAAAGAAATTAGGGCTGATCTGATTTTTTGTTCAGTTTTTCTCAGAACACATAAAATTTACTCTAACAATTATGCATTATAAAATATACTGTATTTGCGTTCTTTTTAACGAGTCGATAGAAATAAAAAGCTTTCTCTGAAGTTTTCTGTGTTCTGTATAAGTGTCATAGATCAGCAAGATTTCTGTCATCATCTTCATTTTCTACTAACTTTTTTCTTATTTTTTGGGAAAATCTCCATTCCAAAGTATATCACAACACAACTGAACATACTGTCCAAATGAGTCAAGGCCTAGCGGCTTCCATAATTATGGCCTTGTGGCAACTGGGAGGGATGCAGGTAGCATAGGGATGCTTAAGGCTGCTACTGTAGGTGCTTTACTAGAACTGAGACATTTTTCTCTCATTCATGTCAGCTTTTGTCAGCATATTAAGTAAACCCCACCTAAATCATGTCAGTTTGTGATGTGTTGAAATCTCAAAATCCATTAAGGGGTACAAATACATTTGCGAGGCTTTTTATGCTATCAAAGTCAGCCACTTCATAGCTTATAGTAGACCATTCAGGCTTTGGGCTTACATTTATAAAGCGATTCATTTTAAAGAAAGTGCACTGTGATAATAATAAATAATGATAATAATAATATGGGCTACCCATTTTGTTTCTCCTCATAATTGCATACAGCTTATGTTTAATTATGCTTTAAGTTTGTTCCAACAAGAAATATGGTAAAATATTTACAGCTTTAAGCAAATCCCATATCTTCTTCACATGCACAAGCATTTACAGTTGTAAACCAGACACATAACATCTTAATGGAGCTCCATAAACCGATGTCCTACTTAAGCTGCTCTCATGGATGCACAGGCAAGAGCCCAGTGGCCAGTGTTTGTCATATGATAAATGTAAAAATGTGGCCCATCTGAGTTTAGGGACAAAAATAGGAACAAAGGTTCCAATGCTCCTCCATGTTTGGTACAAGACACACTGAAGAACAATGATTGCTGACTATTGTTGCCCTGAACCGTATCAACAGAGTTTAGGTAAGGCCAAGTAACATTGGACATCTTGAGACATCTAAGAAATGGTACATGGTTTGAGATTTGTTTATAAAGCAGGGTTAAATTAGAATGACTTTGGCTTAGTTAATGTTTTTCCACATGCATTTCCACAAGCCACCAGGATGTGTCAACACTACCCAACGTAAGGCAGGATAATTTTTTCAAGCCACACATCATCGACAATCCAATTCAAATGCTGTCTATCAACAAAACATAAAGGAAAACACAGAGTAAAGTGTGCTGGGGTGGAATAACTGAGGTACGTAATGGAAATTTGGACTAAAACCTGATCTGATGATGTTTCAGTCAACAGCTTAAATAAAATAGTAGCTCTTAAGAAATATATTTGTATCCTTGTTTTAAAGAAACGAGGTTTCATATTTGTACAGTTTTCTGGACGTTTGTTCCAGATAAGGGGAACATAATAACTAAAAACTGCTTCTTCATTTGATTCTGGTTCTGGGTTTAGAATAGCAGACTTGAGTCAGAATGTCTAATTCAATTTTAGGTAAGCCTGTGAAGACACTGCTGCTGTAATCAATTCTACTAAAGATAAACCTTGTTTTATAATCCAGGAAGTGTTCTTCAGGCGACATAAGTCCGACTTTACTACTGTCTTTATGTGCCTCTGAAGATTCAGGTCCAAATTCATCACTATGCCCAAATTTCAGGGCCTAACCAATTATATTTAGCTGTACTAACTGAAGACCATAATGAGAAGAAACCCACTTTACCTATGAAACCTTCCATTAAATGGGATGAAATTTCAATAAACTGCATATTCAAGAAACCTGACTAAATAAAGAATCTTTCAAATAGTATCTCTTACCTCAAATCCATGTTTCCATCCAGACAGTAGCAGACAATGTTTGAACTGGTTCCTCCAGGACAGCATCCCGTGATGATGATGAGGAGGACCTACAAGAAAGAGAAAGCACAAAGACTGCAAAGTGCATGATGCCAAAAGGGCAGAGGAAGCCGATGCCCAGGGTCTTCTGCTGTGGCCCCATAGCTTTGGGGTATCCCATGTCAAAAAGGACAAAGGCCAGCACAGCCATGAGCACATTGCTTAACACAAGACTGAGAATTTCATTAAAGTTACAGAAAAAAGATAGAGTCTGCTCTTTTACAGACTATGGCAGAGAATATTTCTAGTACAGCAGCTAAGAGCATCATTGAGAACAAAAGGAGGATTTTCTTCTGAGATACTAGATAATGATACCAGGGTGTCCCTCCGTCCCGGTCCAGGCGATGAGGGTGCCAGTGGGGGAAAGTGACTCTCTCCTCTCTTTATGCCCAAACCACTGCAGTGAAACAAAGTTGGGAGGGATGATGAAGTAAGAAAAGATCAAAAATTAACTGAAACTTAACTTTTTATGGGGTCAGTGTTCAGAGGATGGAGCATATAAATAGAAAATCCTCTGAATCATGGAATGTGATTGCTCTGTAACTTTTTATTGCCTCCGTGCAGTTAAAACTTTATTGGGTTGCTTTCTTTATACCCCTTTTCAGACATAAGCACTAAATTATACATACAGTGTAACTGTGTTTTAGATACACATAATGTTACATATGTTATCATATAGTGAACATAATGTCTTTATTTGTTAAATCGGTAATCTTAATAAATGAACCAGAACAGTGATAAACTTTCTGAGCAAATAATATGGCTGAAAACAAATTGTCAACAGTTCAATATCTGGACTCCAGTGATGAATCTTCACGGTACCATGTCCTGGATGACAACATCTGTTGTTTGCAAGTACTGCCACCCTTGAGTTTTCCTGTCTTCTTTAAATCCCTTTCTACTCATATGGTCAGACAGCCTGGTAGACAGATGCTGGAGTTAGAGATATGATCCTGCAGCCTTGTTTCAGGAAAAAGCATAATGCTGGAATGCTGATTCTAGCTGGGTTCTTGCTAGGGCTTGCAGTTCTTCTGACTTGTTTTGGAGTAATGCCCAGGAGAGTCAGTCAGCTGGCTCAAACTCATTTGATCCAGTACCAAGTGCCAGAGTTCAAATTTTGAAAGATTCCCTCAATGGTCAGATGGCTTTGAGTTTTCGTTGATGAGATGAGAAAATTCATCATCATGTGGTAATCTGCCAGGCAGTATCAGTCGTGCGGCTGTCTCCTATTTGGTCCTGCTGCCCACCTACTGTGCAGTGGTACACATTCTGCAAGACTACAGATGGACCATGGCAACAGTATCAGGGGTGAGAATAATCCGGACTGGTCCGGAACTACGTGCTTAACTCTGACAAACTCTGCTCTTCCAGCTGTACTTGTGCAAAAATCTGTCTTTTTGTGCCCGTAGCTCAGACTCTGCTCTTTAAGCTCCACAATGATTGTTCGTTCTCAGCAGTATGGCTCTTACTGCCCTCGGTACTTAATAAACTATGTGTGGCTGATCATCCTCTGCCAAGCATAAAAAATCCTTTAGCTTTAAATACTTTAACAATCAAGATTTTGATTTTTCCAGCTCACAAGAGGTGATGCTAAACATTCTTTAATTTCTACCTAAAGAAATACCTAAATTATATCCAAAGCATATATATTTAGTTACAAACAGTTTATTTTTGGATAAAGACCTGGATGAAAGGGTTTTAATATTTCTCTCTCATAGCTCTTGTTTTTATTTATTTGAATATTTCAACATTTTAGTCCACATATTCTTGAAATTTAAGTCTGGATTGGCATGACATTATAAGACAATTCTGTATGTTCTCTGTGTATTTTTTATATCAGACCCGTATGACTTTAAATCTACTCCCTGAGCAACAGTAACCAAAGGGCAAATTCTTAGACATAAAGCCAAAATTGCTAAAGTAGAAAGAATAATGTTTTTGTTCTTTGCTTTTTTTGGAGTAATGAATATTTATTGATCTGTGTTGAATGAATAATTCATAGTAGATCAGGAAGTGTTTGCTTTGGAATGGAAACCTTATATGTCTAAAATGAATCCTTAGTTTTTATAAATGTTTTTAGCTTGTAAGTCTGCTATTTTAACCAAAGTGATGTGTTGAACTAGATCTGCTAATTTCACAACTTTTTTGAGAGACTTTTGCATAAAATAGGGCATTAATTTATAACAAATGATTTTTGGATTCTAAAAATCAAAGTTTTCTGCCAAACAGTAATAATGAACGGTAGCATTGTATCACCAGCAATAGTAGTATCTAGGCTAGAGCTGTCAGTCTGGTAAGGAATCTGGTTATTTTAAATTTTAAAGAATAGCTGTTTTATGAATTGCAACATAAAACTGATTAAAAATTGACTATTTCTGTTGCAACTGCACTTTGGTATGTCCAAGGAGTGGCCACTGTGCTCCAAAGCAATGAAAAATTGTTAATTCCATTTCTGTTCCTGTTCCAAGACCTCATCGTTTATAATCAGGTAGACACCTTATCTGGTTTTCATTCACATCATGTTATTTGTTTTAAGACTTGAACATTTTGGAGGCCAAAAATGTTACACCTCTTAATGAGACGTCTCTTAACCTAAATAATTTAAAGTTACCAATAACGGCAACTGATCCATTAGAGCATGCTCGTTTGATGCATTCACTCAGATATGAAACTCTACTGGACTTCATCTTGTGCTAAAGGTAGCGTGATATGGCAATTAATACACACTTTAAAGTGTGTTTGTTCCACAGTATTAAGCAGAATAATCATATCCTCCTTAACCCTTTTAAGCCCGATCCAAGAATAAAACAAAACAGAATTTTTTTGGTTTGAAGTCCTTATTTCGCCTTTTAACAAAATATTTAAAAAGAAAAAACGAAAATACATTTTTGATATTAATAATTTATTACTATGCGATAAGTCAAGATTAT